CTCTTCCACCATTGTCAACTCATTCCAGAAAAATACTAACAGCCGTTGAGCAATTTTTTTTGCTCAAATTTTCTCAGTACCCTGGAATGCAATTTGAACAGTCAGGATTTACTTTTGTAGAATTTTGCTCTTTTAGGCTCTCACGCCATGAAATCACACACAGTTTTTCCCTGAACTTCAAGGAATGTCTTCCCAATGCCCAGTTTCCCTTTGCAGATGATCATGGCAGGAAGTTGATAGGGCTGTGTCCACTAGCTGTCGGATCTGCAGGGGAGATCATCATAAACTGAGGGTAACAAGGTCACCCCTGCCAGGTGGACACTACAATGTCCATTTCACCAACTCATTCCTCCTTGCAGTTTAATGCTAAGAATACCAGATTCCCTTGTGCCCATTAAAAAGAGTCAGTGGATAAAGCTGAAAATTTATCATTTATATTTACTGGACTACAGAGTAATGGAAAATTTATCTTGAAAAATATTGGTATTTTCTTGCCATCTGAAAGAGACATGGGGTTAAGTGGATGCTAAGTGGGTTAGTTTGTTTTGGCTTCTCAGACTGGATAATTTATAAACAATGGTTCTGGAGGCTGGGAAGTCCAACGTCAAGGCACCAGAAGATGTGATGTCTGGTGAGGGACTGTCCCTCATAGATGGATGTTGCCTTCTTGCTGTGTCTTCATGAGGTGGAAGGGCAAGGTACCTCCCTCCAGCTTCTAAGTGCACTGATTCCATTCATAAGAGTAGAGCCCTTGTGACTTAATCACTTTCCGAATGCCTCTTCATTCTATCACATTGGATATCATATTTGAACACACGAATGAAGGGGGAATGGGATGACATCAACATTCAGACCATAGCAGTGGGTTTGGGGTTGAAGGACTTGGCTCAAGACTCAAAGCGAGGATAGAATCATTTGTCATTTGGAAGGGACTCTTCCACCTTCTAATATTAGGTCACCCAGAACACTCTCACCCAACTCTTCTGTTAGCTGGTTCCTTCCCAGATTCACTTGAATACCAGCTTCTCAGCTGAGTCTTCTCTGAACATTCAAAGTAGGCAGCCTCTACCTCATGATTGATTTTTGCTTACTAATTCAAATTACCTCCCTCCCTCACTAGAATAAAAGTGCAGTGATGGCAGACACTTACCTTGTCGTCTCAGGACCTAGAACAAGGCTTGGTACATAGTTGGGGGCACTGTAAGATGGCTGGAGGGTGACAGCCGGGGAGATGTCATGCCCGCCAAGCTGGATATGGAGAGGCAGGCAGGTGAAACCATACTGTGCAAAGACGCTGGGGCTATAGTGAAGAGACAGATCCAGAGTGAAAAAGCTAATATCCTTTCTAATAACAAACCCATTTAGATGATTTGAACATACGTAATTTAGGAGTAAATTTGATAGTCATGTATTTCAAAGAAAGGAAAATAAACAGGTCATGCCCTCCTTGGTAAGAAGTAAGAACAGAGATAGGCATTCGGTAGCATTCAATAGACCCACATGCAAACTTGCCTCTGTCTCCCTAATGTGCTACTTCACCATCTGCACAGGGTCCCCGAGATGGCACCTCAGGAGGTCACCCTGCAGGGTGCTGAGAACCAAAGCCCAAGTTTAACAGTAATCAGAGTCACCTTTTCCAACAGTTGAAAGATATTAAAAACATAGTTATGGGGTTTAGAAAGAAGAGCTTTCTGGAAGAGCAGGAAGGAGACACCCCAAATTGGTCAACATCCATCCAAATATGGAATAAGAAAAACAAGGGCAGGAAGATGTTGTCAGAAGAGTGAGGAAAGCAGGCAAATGACTGGGAAAAAGGATGTAACAAAGCTGTGCCCCCACCCCTTGGCCATGCCAGGTTGTCCAGGCTGTCTTCAGTGGGCTCAAGGAAAGGGCACTGCAGTAATAAAGTGCCATGATTCACAGGAGTGATTCACAGGCTCCATTGTTAACACCCACTGTTCAGTTCCTCTCTGCTCTGCTCAGCCAAGCTCTTTGCAGGCCCAGAACCACGAGTCTTCGGTGGCACTGCAGGGAAGGGCTGGAGGCGAGACAGCTGTCTACAGCAGGACCATGAACTTGCCACCTGTCCCTACCACGATTATCCAGAGCAGAGGCTCCAAGAGGGGTGGGCCCAGGAAAGGATGATGGCAAAAGTGCTAGAGAGAGGCTTTTCAGAAAAGGGTTTGGAAGTGTTTCTATGAGTTAGGTCATGTTTTGGCTAAAAATCATGTGAGGGTGTTACTCAAACATGGAAACGTTTGTATAATTTGTTCAAAACTTTCCAAATGAAGAGTTCTGGTGTTATAGTGTCTTTGGTTAAAAATTATAAAACCCTTAACACGTTTTGATTAGTTTGTGTTGTCTGTCATGAGAGAAGATGGAAATTCATTACTCAGATTTCCACAAAAATCTTTGCATAATTGATGAATAAAAATGAAGAATGAGCAATTATGACTTAATGTGACTCGTTGTGTTCTTCTTCCATTTAGAGTTACTAGATTTTGGAAGTCAGTGCATTAAAACCAACCATAAAACTAGGCTGAACTTGGAAACTGATGTCTGAATGACTAATCACAGTTTTAAAGCATTTGCAGTAATGAAGTGCTCATTATTCTTAAAAATACTGAATAGAAGTTTTATCATTAATATTTTTAAACATCGTATTTTAAAAGTTCATTCAAAACTTCTATCCATTTAGTCATGCACAAAATTTATTAATAAACATACATCTCGTGGTAGAAATCCAAATACTTTACTATTAGGGTTTACAACCAAGACAGCTCGATGGTTATTTTGACAGATACAAAGGAAGGTATCTATGAAGCCTAAATACTAAGAACATTCTTTTGAATATTTTGTTATCAAATTATCCAAATAGCTGTTGTGGCTGCTCCATACCACACAGCTCTTGCATTTCCCTAATCATTCTAATCATTTCTAGAGAGGGCAGCAAAATAGTTTACATAATAAAGTTTCTCTTTTATAAAACCAAAGGCAATTCTTTTTTTTTTTTCTAAAAACATTACAAAGCAAAGGTTTTCAAAAGTCCAAAGGTAAAAAAGAAATAGTTGTCAAGAGCAAACATTGTATCTTATCATGTCAAATCCTGTGGCAACAGAATTCCTTTGCCGCTGGGTCCACACATAGGGGTCACTCCCCGGAGAGCCCCCAGTTTTAACTCTGTATCAGTTAAAGCTACTGGAGGCATTTCAGGGGATGAATCAATCTGGGCTCTTCAGAATAGAAGTCAGCTTTGTGAAAATGAAGCAGACATCTCTTTGCCTTGTAAATTGATGTCATCAGAAATGGTTCCCCAAACTCACTGGAAGTAAAGCTGGGTGGTGCTCACTATTAGGCACCCAGAAGGCCAGAGATCTACTCGGATCCTGCAGCCAACCATCAGGTGATTCTGAAACTCTCTACACCTCACTCAGCATTTTCCTCTACAAAATGAGGTGGGAGGTGACTTTCTAGTGTAAATAAAGGAAATCTCCCTCCAGCTTTCCCAGTCCCGGATTATTTTGAGCCATGCCAAATCCTTAAAGCAGAGTTTAGATTAAGACAATGTGGCTTGTAAATTATTTTCCTATATAGTTTCTGGTTTTTAATTAGAATTAGTGATCAGAGTCAGCTCTTCCTATAGCTGGCAAGGCAGGGCAGCTGAAGGCTGGGAGGCAGTCTCAGAAGCCAGCAGTGGTCTCCGAAGTCTGTCTTCTCCACTGGTGTACCATCAGCAGCTCTCAATGCCAACATCAATTTGAGTCTGAACTCTATGTATCACTAATTGTACACACTTAGACGAAAGGTCTCTATAAAAGGACTCATCCATGCATGCTGTCAAAGTAGGCAGGTTCCAAAATTAACCATGGTGGCTTATACTATGTTAACGTGGTTAATCCAGAACTGTGTTTCCCAGAGTCCCCTTCCCTGGTGGTTCTAATTCAGAATTGGCTCTAAGACGTGCTGTCATGAGATCTGGAAGGCCAAAGTGAAGCAGGTGCCATTTTTCTCCGAGATCATCATTGTTCAATGTGGTGTTGTGATCCGACAGACACAAAGGTCCTCACTCCCTTCCGCTTCACCTCCAGCTCTTCTTCCTGAGTGCTGACTACAGCAGCCCCAGGCCCACCACTAGCCACCTGGCTATAGACCCACGGGGATGGTCACAGAGCCCACGCCACGTCACCTGCCTAGGCCCACTTCAGCAGCGGCCTTATGCTTTGCTTCTCAAAGATGACCTGGTGACTTAGCCTGATTCACACGCCTCTGCATCTTCACTTCTCCGGCATTTCACACAGTTGAGTTTAGCCTAATTCTGTAACAAAATCTGGTATTCCGTGGGACTTGGAGCAACTCTTCTCCCATGTTGACCAAAATCAGACACACAAACCTCCAAATGGACATTGTTGTTCTGTCCACAGGCCACCCTGGGAGGGAGCTGAACCGTGTGTGCACACTGGAGTCTCATCCCGTTCCAGGTAGCAGGGCCCTTCCTGAGGCCTCATAATGTCTTAAGAGGCATAAATAGTACCAAAAGAATGACGCCACCAAGCACACACATGAGTGTTGGGGAAATATAACATAAAACATGGTTTAAAGATTTGGCTCTGAGAATCTTCACACCCTGAGAATCTTCCTAAGGTGCCTCTCTGCATCTTGCTGAGTCAGTCACAGTCTGAGGCCGTCCAACCTACATCCACGGGCTCATGTCAACAGTCCTTTCTGTCCAATGCAATCTCTTAACAGCCCTCACCGCCACATAAAACTGATGGAGCTGGTCTCATCAGTGCTAAACTCAGACCCTGTGTGGAGGTATTACAACTTACCTAATAAACACTCAGATAACAATACTGGAAGCACACACTAGTATCTCAGATAATCTCACTGATGGTTGGGTAATAACCACATGTAGACCATAGATGTTCATAAGGCATTCCTTTACTCCTGGGCTGAAAAGCAAAAATCCAAAGTTTAAAAAAAAAAAAAAAAACATAAAAATGTGGGCATGAATTATTTCTTGTTTTATTGCTTTCTTGTTTCTTACTTGATGCAGAGTCAATGTTTTTGAGTAACAATAATATGTCCAAAATCCAACAGTAAACATTCAAATAGTAAAATCTGATGTAGAACAAAGTCCTCAAATGTTAACTCCTTTAAGTTACATCTAGTGGAACCACTAGGGATAAAGGCTGAACTCATCATCTTGGTTTCTGATGGAAACCATTATCCTCTGAGCAGGGGGCAGGAGGAAGTCTCGGGTGCCAGCCACCTGTTCAGGCACTGGGGGCAGCACTGTGGTCTCCCTGTGAAATGATCAGGGAGACTCATGATGAGTCTAAGTACGGCAATCTCTCCTTTCACCCCAGGATTAAGAAACCCCCCCCAACAACTGAGAGAATCGAAAGAAACTCCTATGGAACAGAAGATGTGTTACAATGATAAAGATCAGAAATGACTGTTGTCAAGGAAGTGGCCTGTGACTGCACAGAGCCCCATCTTTGTAAGGAAACAACCCACTCTAAGTGCACATCGGAGAGGCTTTACACAGTGACTGGCTGCAAGCAGGACAACCATGAGCAGCATTTTGCTTGTTGAAGGCACAGGTCCTCGTCATCCTGAGGGAGGAGTCACTGTGTGCAGCCTCTGAAAAATCATCAGCTGTCATAAATCTGATTGCAGCTTCAGCCTGATCTTTTGAAAGTCCCAGACTCTTGAGGCACCCCTGAATATCTTGATGTGCCTACTCCTTCTGCAAGAAGTCAGGTTTCCACGGGATGGAGACTCAAAGGAACATGATTGCATTACATCACAGAACAGGCAAAAATAAATACATGACTCTATAGTGTGGCTATGAAACTACCAGGAAAGAAATATTTCAGACCCTACAACTGCAGTTCATGTGCTAGCAATACCTGGTAGGATCTAAAAGTGTCAACTGTCCCATAAAGCAACTACCTACTGTGACTTTGATCACCTGTACTTCTGGGACAAGCAAAAATGTATGAAAACACTCTATTTTTTTTTTAAAGACAAACTTCCTTAAATACCAAGGAGAGAGATCGGTTTCACTTGACAGTGATCAATATATCAAAATTAAATAAATCACTTTCAATTCTTCCCAATGATCATCTTAGGTTTCCATAACAAGAATAGGCAAGAGCCAGCTGCACCTTGCCAGTGACACTGAGGGTGTAGTCACACAAACCGTCTTGGAAGAATGAAGGACCCACACCTTTGCCTGAGGAATAATCTTGAGCTCTTCCAGCGTTTGAAATTCCACGGTATTATGAATGCTCTTTAGAAACACAGTGATTGATACTCAAAAAGGAACCAAGAAGAAAACATAACTTGCATTTATTCGTGTCCACACCATCTAAAGCTACTGTGTACAGTCATCAGGACTGGAGAAGGGACGATTTAGAATCTAAAACAACAAAAACACTGGGACACGCCCCGTGAATGGCAAGTCTGAGTTTGTAAGAATCTACTTGCTGGCAAGCCAGTTTCCTCCCTGAGAAGCACACTTCAGCTTCCTTCTCTCCCTCCAGCATCTTCTGTCCCTTTCAGTTAAGGCCTGGACAGTGGAGGATGGTGTTGCAATCTCTCTCCCAGAGCTGTCAGTCACCCGTGGGCTCGGGCTGCGCATGATCAGGCCCCAGGCAGCTTGGCTCTGCGCTCCGCCGCCGCAGCTCCTCCACGGTCTGCAGCAGTGCCGACCGCTCCAGCTCTAAGGTAAGCATGGCCTGCTTCAGCTTGCTCTCGCTGCTCAGGAGCTTCTCAATGGTGGCCTCAAGGCTTTGGATCCTACCATTTGCCACCTGGAGAATAAAAGAAGAAATGAGAATGCAATTGCCCGTGATAACACAGGAGGGATCCAGCACCCACCCGCGTCCAGCCTTGGGAGCACTCTGGAGCGATGTTTCAGCCACGATGAGTCTACAGTTTTATCATCAGTTCTGGCCACACAGGAAGGCCATTCTCAGCTCCCCTTGCAGGTAGGTGGGCCATGCCCTTAAAAGCACCCTAAGAGTCCCCAGCATTTTTTCCCCTGCTGTGGCTGCTGATCCTGCGATGGTGGATCACAACACAGAGGGAACCCAAGTCCCCAGGCACCACCACTGGAAGGGCAGCTTGGATGGGGCCAAAGAATGCTTCAGGGAAGGGGGGCGGGGCTTCCGCGACACAAAGACTTCCAGTGTGCCAAGCCTCGGGGATTTGGAACTTCGCTCCTGCAGCAGAGCCTGGCCTGTTTTGATGAGTACATATACACGCACAAATTGATTTCGGACTGACAAAAACTCGAAACGGTTTCCACTTGAAGGCCCAAGGTAGTAACAATCCTCTAGTCTGAAATTCTTTGCAAACACAGTGATACTCAAAAAGGAACCAACAAGAAATCAAGTTGCATTTATTCATGTCTGTGCCATCTAAAGCTACTGTGTAAAGCTAGTGATGTCCAGAGTAACAAGATATCACTATGTCAAGAAACACAGGCATTTCCCTGGAACACATATGGAGTCCTTAGAAAAGCCAGGTGTTCTGCTAAGAGGTTGATGTGCCTGGTCTCGGTGACTGCTCACTACCAGCCACAGAGATAAGCAGTATCCTCTCTCCCACCCTACAGAGGAACGAGGCTCTCACTCAGTCTACATCTTCAGCATCTAGCACATAATTAATGCTAGCTAAATAGAATGACCAGGTGTATCTTTCTAGCGACTGTCGCTCCTCTCTCTAATTTGCTTGGCAGGCTTCCCAGGTGACAAGTATGTCAGCTCTAGTGACATGAAGGGGTTCCCTGAGAAAACTGCAGAAACTCCAACACTTATGCTGATGTCCCTGAGGCCTTTCTGGCCCGTTCCCCAGCTCAGAGCTGCATCCTGCAGTGCTCTGTGACTGCGTCTATCTCGCTAATCCAGTCTAGATTTGACACGCCCCCATTTATTGTAGGTGGGAAAAAAAATGCTGCATCTTTTTTTTTTTTTTCATTGTTCAAACAAAGAGAACAGTTTTTTTGAACAGCCCAACACTTGTGCCAGACAATTCATGACTCAAAGTCTAGCTCTGGCTGAGCCACTAGAAACACCTGAAATAGAGTGAAAAAAGGACCAAAAACCTTAGTTTGTCAGCTTACTGGGCAGGGGGTGGGCACACTTGGGGTCTCTCTCTAAGCAGTACTCTCTGATCCTCAAAATCCACCCATCATCAGGGCCCAGGTCAGGGTCTACCCTCATCACTCTGAAGCCTCCCTGCATTTCCAGGTGCAACCTGCAGCTTAGTTAGTAGTGAATTAATCTGCCTGGTCATCTGCAATTCTGCATTAATGTCAGGTACCCTCAACGACCCTGATGCTTTTGTAGAAGCAAGCATGTCTTCTCTTTCACACATGGTCCTGCCTCCCGCAGCACCTGGCTCGGTGTGGGCGTCAATGACTTGCAGGGATTATGACAAATCCATGTGCATTATTATTTGGCTCCATCTGGCATGTCTATGCAATCGTCTGATACACTGCTGCATAAAACAGGTGGTGGAGTTTGCTCTCCAGCTTCTAGACAACCTTCACATGTGTTTAACAAGCAAAGAAAGGGGATTTCGGTATTTCTAACAATTTTATGAACAGAATAAAAATAGGAAATGGGTCAATTTTGATATTTTGGCCCCTCTAGAAAAGCTATACAAAAATTCAGGACTGTATGAAACACCTTTCCTTGTCTGTGTCTGAAAGGGTATGAGGAGGAGGCATGATTCTCACATGTGAGAGGCATATTTTCATAGAGGGTCATGGAAGAACTATATCAAAACACCCCTAAGTCAACACAATACAATCCTAGACCCAACTCTTTGAGAGCTGCCGTGGCTTACTCAACGTGGTGGCCACCAGCCCTCAGCACTGCAGGGAGTCAGGAATTACTGGTGGGTTGGCATAGACCACAGTTCTGAATGATCATTCCAGAAGTGCAGGGCTAGTTGGTCAAGAGAACATCTGTAATCACCAATTACTGTCTGATGCCTTTAATGAGGAATATAGCTAGCTAAGAAGTTTTTCACAACTCCCTGTCTTCACAAAAACAGAAGCACAGGAGCAGCATGAAATTACTTTGTATGCTCTGTCACCAAAAAACTATATGGTCATTTACCCAATATAACAAACCTTTTATATGAGAACTACCTATCTTAACAAGCTGAACGCTTCAATGCAAATGTGACCTTTATTGGAAGTATTTCCACCATATTATATTTCAGGGACCTATCATTGACTTGGAAGCCATTTAAAATGATCACCTCTACCGTGTACCCTACAAGCCAGATAAGGCTCTTCATCCCATTGAGATTTCCCTTCAGGGACAGCTGAGACTTCCAGGGTAAATTGTATACAGGCATATTTTCAGTTAGGACATCTCTATCTTAGGGGAAAAAAAAAAAGTTAAATTTCAGAATGTGAGTGGTAGTTAGGGCTGGGCAGGAAAAGCATTCGGTCTTGGTTCCTCTCATGCACATATCTGCTAGGGTCTGCTGGGATGGAATGCCCGCTGGGAGGAACACAGGTCAGACAACTTAATTCGCTAGGCTGGCCTTTCTCACGTTGCTGCCAAGCTTGTGTCTGCAAAGCACATCTTTCTATGGAGAAAAATCAGAGGCTTAGATCAGAACAGAAGGCTTATTCTCAGGACACACCAGGAACATCATAAAAAATTTGGGCAAAAGTATGTATTTTTATTCAAAGCCACTCAAAAACAACTTTAAAAAACACCCTCAAAACAATTCCTTAACAGGGACAGCACTGCTACGCACTTGTGACATTAAAGAAAGTAGAACATGGCTGGGCGTGGTGGTTCACGCCTGTAATCCTAGCACTTTGGGAAGCCAAGGCACGAGGATCACCTGAGGTTGGGAGTTTGAGACTAACCTGACCAACATGGAGAAACCCCGTCTCTACTAAAAATGCAAAAAATTAGCCAGGCGTGGTGGTGCATGCCTGTAATCCCAGCTACTCAGGAGGCTGAGGCAGGGGAATCGCTTGAACACGGAAGGTGGAGGTTGCGGTGTGCTGAGATCACAGCATTGCACTCCAGCCTGAGCAAGAAGAGCAAAACTCCATCTCAGAAA